ATATATCAGTCAAATATAACAGCTATTCTTGCATACGCCAATGAGCCGTTTTATATCACCATAAAAAGTAAAATCCGGGAGAATTAACCTATCTTCAAATGTATTCTTAGCAGATCCGGCTACAAGCTGCTAAGGGCAGCAGCCAAAAGGGATATTGCGTTTTCGAAGATAAAGCGGTAGTGCTTTCACACCACTTATGGCGGAAAAGTAGTAGTTCAGGGTCTTTTGGGTTTAATCATGGTTTTCAACAGGCGTTATGTTTTAGAAGACCGAGGGTTCCCGGGGAATTTTAAGGGACATCTAGGGATTTGTTTTCCGACCCATAACAACAACAGTGTTCGGTAAATACACGGGAAAGATTGCTATAATTAGTTCAGCCTGTTGAAGTCTAATTATTCGTAAGGGAATTCTATAAGTCAAGTCAGGATATGTGAGGAGTGAGTGCACAGTTTCTTTGGTGGAGGAGAACGGACCAGGTTTAGATACATCCTGCGAGTGGAGAGTGGATACCCTTCGATGAAGCAAAATTATGGCGAATATTCAATGGATATTTGACCATATGAAAACTAAACTTGATGGTTGATTTAACACAAACTGACTGGTGTGCAACGATGGTGGTTTGGGGATTTTATAGACAGAAAGGAATATTTTGCTCAGGAATAATGGTCACTCATAAATGATGTTTTATTGTTACATCGATTAGTTAATGACGGTTTTGTAAATATTTGTTCTTTAACCACCCGCACTTCATCGCTGAATAACCAGACGAAATGAGCGTTTACCGATGGTTGATCAGGTGGTCGTTGACCTGTTTGCTAACCTTGGCAATCGGCTTGCAAAATTTTTGTCCCCACTCGAGGAGACGACGTCAGTGCGCAGTTAATTGGGTGCTTCAAATTACTTCTTTACAGCAAATGAGGTCTGATTTTTTTTCTGGAAATTTCACAACCGTTAATAGTTCTTGATTACTTGTTGACTACATTCAACCCAGTGATCTGGCTTCATGAGAAAGCCTGAGAAATTCACATGTTGTTTGTGAACACCAGTTGTTCCCAAATCTTATCAAAAAAGGTCAATTTGTTCTTTGTGAGACTTGCTAACTCTCCATACCATGGAACAGTTCTGGCTCATAAGGCTATCAGTGGCTCTTGAGTATCCTTCAGCTCGCAATAACAGTTTTTATACTCAATGGGTTTTTTCTTATCCCTGAGTTTGACAAAATGAATATTTCAGGTCGATGAACGACGTGACATTCAGACGTCGCGATTTCGTTTCTGAATAGGCTTGTACATATTCAGTGATCAGATAACGACAAAAAATGTTGCGAGATGAACAATTGAATAGATCCATTCTTTTGTTGATGTGACGCACTGCTATTTCACTTTATAGTGAACCCACACGAGGGCGAAATAAATAAGGCTAGTGTAAGTGAATGATGCTCAAGTTTATGCCGTTCGTCTAACAAATACCCATTGGTGACTGACTGTTCGTTTTGTTCTTGAGATATGGGAATGCACAATCCAATCGATAAGTGAAACGGCAGAGTCAAACTGTGTAGAATAGTGGGCACGGATTTTTGGTTGGCGGTAAAATGCAACTCCAACGAACTAAATGGTCCAGTTGCCGGTGTGTTCTACACAATAACATCTTGATTGCTTAGTATGTGGTAGGAACCAGAGGTCAGTTGACCACTCTAGCTATGGTCAAACCGCCATCACTGCTACTGGGCAGGGCTAATTATCCATTTTTTCATATGAGAAGCAACAAACAATGCTTCATCTAGTTGATGATCTCTTAATTATCTGTTGTAATGTTATAACTGATGAATTCTTTATTGGTTCGTGACTCACTCGTGCACCAATATACTTGCTCAGTAATGGTCCGGAGGCAAGAAATAATCGATTGAGAATATGACAAGAACTCGATTCAGGATTAACAGATCAGTGTGAGTGCTCTTCACTGTCACGACAAAGACTAGTATTTATTTATAAGCTATTAAGCGAAAAGTTATGATGACATAATGGCATGATACAGCAGAAAAAAATATAAAGTTGGCTATTGATAAGTTATTGTCTTCATTGAAATCGACTTGCTTATGGTCATTCATATGATTTGGATGCTCACTCTTCATCGTATCACCACATGGTGGCCATCAAAATTCAGTTTAAAAATTGAAACTCCCAAGCGCGTTTATCTGGATACAGGAAGTAAAACATGAAGAGAGAGTCTGCTCGAGTGAACGCATTTTTCGTGCACTGTCACACAGACATCTGTTTCGTGAAAAACCTTAGTCATATTCGATACTACTGACTGTGGCTTGTCCGTTGTGATCATGTACACCCTAGATTTGTTGGACAGTCTATAATGACCATCGCTGTTGCTTCAGCAAAATAGAAGGCGTTTGTACTGAAACCAGCCACTGCACCGAAAGGCGTTTTAAAATATGGGACCCGTGTTTCTCGGGTTAAGGTTTTTGAGTCCCCGGGATTTAGATAAGAAAATTCTGTTCTTCACAGTGGCCATCAAACGGATAATCGTTTTCCTCTAAACCGTCTAGCATATTACTCAGCAGATAGGACTGCACAGGTCAAAGTCTCGGCTTCAATAACGAGAGGCCTACTAAGCAATACATCTAATCTTTCTCAAACATCTCAGGTGTATATTCAAACAGCCCAAATTTCTGATTTACCTCATTCTTTGGTTTAGTCTGCCTCGTCCATCCCCGGTGTTTTCATACAATGTAAAATATGGGTATGTTGATGGGCCGCGGAGTCAAAACTTAAATGAAGCTACAGACTAGGTCCATTTACTTCGTGTAACCTGCTCAGGAACGTTTATCTCGATCGATCGTCTAAATTCTGAAGAAGTGAAATTTTCCTTCATTTATGAAAGAAGATCTAGCGACTGTCTCATCATCCCTTCATTTTTCACTCTTAATTAACCTAGTATTTCAGAGAGCAAGATGGCCCAGCGGTTGAATCGTGAATTTACTGAACAAAATGTCTGTGGTTCAAAGCCAACCTCTGCATCTCGACATCTCCTGTCTAGATTTGGACAGTGTGGCAGTATCTCAGCTCTGCCACTTCCTTCGGATGGCACAACAGGCAGGCACCAAAAGGGTGTTGCAGAGTTAAATAACCAAAATAACTAGCTCGGATAAATGACTATGGTCAAATTCATTAAAGTCGCGGAAAACGGCATTTATGCCGTCAGACACTGGAAGTGGCACATTCATTCACCATGGGATCGTTAATATTTGTGTCCCGGCAACTGGGTTTTCTGTCCTTTCACTAGTGGATATCCCTTGTTTATGGATATCAGGCACAGCTATTCCTGTTGGAACAGTTGGATGCTCATCACCCAGTCCATCCTCTTTATATAAGACATCAACTTCCTGCACACAAACTCGCTCACGAATCATTGTTCTGCTACGCTTACCTACAAAGCTCACCACCTGGTGTTTTGTACATTTGTACATCTGTTCTGCGCGTTCTACGTGGATGAAATTCATGGGTAACATTCCGCTTCCTTATACCATCTCTTTTTTAGCTGGCCCGTTTGTATCTTGACCTCTGCTTCAGTTGATAATTTCTGAAATAGCAATGATCTACCAGATACGTAGAGATTTTTTCTAATTGACTAGAAGTGTGACGAGGTTTTCAGTTAGCATTACGCCTGTAAACTCCAAAATAACTACTATCAAGCAAATCACAGTAATTTGATGTAAATAGCATTGAGTTGGCACCTGAAAACCCGGCATGAAATCTTGCTGCATGTATACCCACCGTTGGATCCTATGGATGGGTAAACCTTAAAAGGTACCCCATGCATAAAAGTACCACTTTTGCTGCCGTTTGAGGGGAGATAGCTCCAAAACCCCGAGAGTGCCAACACTCAGTGGTAAAATTATGGTGATTTCGGCCCCACCACTCCAACAAGGGTAGTTTTTTCAGATGGTGAGACATCCCGCTTCAGACAGGTCCTGTTTCATTGTGTCAGGTCATCAGCTAATGACTAGATTTCCGTACCTTTTGTCAAACATATTTTGTCCTCACAATAGATACAGTTTCATTGGTAGTGATATGAAGAGATTGGGTGGTTTTTAAGTGAGACTTCATCCTGTCAGTGAAGTCAGTCTATGCTGGGAAGTCGATCAGAACTGTACAGCTAAATCATCTTCGTTTGGATTTGCCAGCAGTAAGCTGCTGATCAGATGCTCGAGGTCAAACGGATAAGTTTTTAGCCACTGACCGGAGGTTTGCGGGGACGTAATCCCCCTGACTTCTGTGAGATGCACACGTGCTTCTCGGCTTCTTAGCTTGACTGACAGAATGGAATATCCGTTGAAGGTAACATCTTTTGTTGTAAGCCGTGCACTTTTGTCAAGGTCGGTGCAGGTATTAAACTTTCTGTCATAGCAGAACCAGTATGAATGCGCACATTTTACATTTCTGCATAAGCTGAATGCTCGTTCGGCTGGCTGAAAGCCATGGAAAAAGGAACAGCTTTAAATAAATGACAGTGAATTATTTCGATACTCGGACAAGTTGCTTAAATTGTGATTTCGCAATACGATAGACAACTTGGATTCAGCTAGCGTCCCCTTTTATCTTCTCCACTGTAATAAGTACATAACGCAATAAATGAATTTTCTTGAAAAATAACTTCGGCACAACCAACAATCTTTTCTATCACAGAAACGAAAAATTCTTGATCGTCCAAAACAAGAACCTCATTCGGTCAGGACGGACCACTTTAACCAGATCCTAGGAGTTTTTCTCATTCAAGAGACAATAATGCGTTGTTGACTACCAATATAATCATCTTTCCTGTAATGAATCTATGAAGCTATGAAGCGCGCCTCTTCATGGCGATCATTTCGCTGTACGTCCAGTCTCTTTCTATCAAATTAGCTGGGATGTTTTGTGAAGACTATCTTAAGAATGAAAACCGCCTGACCACAAAAGCGGACGCATTTCGTCCGGTAAAATCGGACCTACCATTTAGCACATCCACATTTCGGCAATACTGATTAACACGCAGATGACCACATGATCGTCTCATGTCACTTTAGGGCAATCACACTATGTCAGCTTAAGGAGACCAGAGTTTCAAGGTGAGGTTTGGGGGTGTCTGGCCTTTTGGATGCAACACTCACTCAGCGCATATCCGTATACTCAAATGGGACGATACATGGTGATGCCACTACTGTCATCGCTTCTGTTCGTCAGTCGTTGAAGGCAGCCTATACTGACCTATTTGGCCCAATGTAGCCTTCTTCCAGATTGCTACAGTTGTCTAGGCATGCAAGCTAACATTACAAATTCCATATAAGCTGGAGAAGACTTGACTGAATTTCTCAAAAAAGAGGAATGTGAAGTAAACGAAAAGGGGTGAGTAATGACAGAGGAATTAGGTAAGAACACAGTACAAGGATGACAAACCGAAAGGTTGCAGCTGATTGTGACCTTAGCCGAAGTTACTTACGGGCACAATGTGTGCGGCACCTACAAAAGTGGATATATTTGCGACCATACACAACGTCGTGTGCCTAGGGCAATAAGTAGGGGCGCGCGGTTATCCATGAGTATTTATCCAATATTTCAACTTTCCTTAGCATCTCTAGTTCATCAAATGAAGTCACTAAGCTATCTTCAGCATGATATTTGGGGTCACTGATTGCGCAAACAATACGAAAACCTTGGAGTGAACGACAACTATACAAGTACCTAGAGATATATATCTTCCGTTAATCACTCATCGGTAGCTTGGAAACCAAACAGTGAAGTAGTCTGACAAAGTTGAATACGTCAATAAAACGATTGTAAAGAGGTACGGGAGCAATACGAATGCAATTAGGAGGTCGAGTATCGACGATGATCCCTTCACTTGCCAGTCCTTCGTACAGCTGCTGGAGATTTTTCTGCACAAACAAAGTTAATTGGGCACCGCGCGCTTCTTTCTCTTTTGGGGTTACAATTTCAAACAGATTGTTTGGGAGGGAAAACTGTCCGTGTTCGATAAGGTATTCCAAATAACCCGTGAGGAGAACTGATTTTTTCCTCAACTCACTGACACCTCCACATTGTTTGAATAGATCTACGCTTGTTTTAAGCGCAGCGGCAAGTAACAGTGGAGGATTCGATATGCGATAAGCTTGTGCTCCCGTTGCTAGCTCCATGTTTCCTGTCATCTGAAATCGAGTTTCAATGCGATGGCTCCACCATCCAGTAAGTTGTGGGCCTGTAGGAATGATTCCAGGTCTAGAGATTCTCGATCCATTTATCCCCGGCTGATGATGGTGTCTTCTGTGCACAAACAGACCTCCAAGAGCTCCTGGACTACCATTCAGATACTTGTAAGAGCACCATACGGCAACATCCACATTCCATTTGTGAAGTTCAAGAACGACATTCCCCACAGAATGAGCCAAGTCCCAGCCAACACAGCACTGAGCGAATTTATGACCAGCTTCAGTTATGCGTTCCATGTCAAAGGATTGTCCAGTGATAAACTGTACTCCGGGCAACCATATGAGAGCAATTCGATGTGAATTATCCTTGATCGTTTGAACAATATCTTCCGTGCGAAGGCACCACTCTCCAGGACGAGGCTCCAGCATAATGATATTATCCTTGGGATCTAACCCATGCCAAGCGATTTGTGATTCAATCACATAGTAGTCTGATGGAAATGCCCCTTTTTCTATCAATATGCAGGATTTTGTACCCTCAGGTCGATAAAAGGTAGCTAGTAGTATATGCATGTTCACACTCAAATTAGCTGTGACAGCAACCTCATCAGTTTCAGCTCCGACGATATACTTGGCAATATCTTCAGTCAATGTAATATCGCATAGTGATGCTGGTAAGGGTCCGTTCATGTATGCATGCACTCCAAGCCCACTCCAGTTCTGAATTGTGTCTTGTAGCACGCTTGCAAGCTTCTTCGGTGGAAGTCCAAGTGAATTCCCACACAGATAGGTTACTGTATTCCCTGAGCGTTTCTCCTTCGGTGTAATACTGATAGTTGTCATCTTTTCCAAGCATTCAAATGTCGGATGATCAAACTCCTCCCTCAACCAGCCTAAAGGATCGTTGCTGTCTAACCACTGTGCAAATTCGATGCAATCAAAGCGAAGGTTTTGCTTATCAGCAAGCTGTCGATAATCCATTGTTCGAGTGTATACAGATGGTTTGGTCTGACCTGCGCTTCGGTTAAATCACAACAGACAAAGCTGTACTTGTTTTATATATGAACCTATTTGTGTTTGCCTGGTTTGTTTATATAGCTTCGTGTAAACCTGATAGTGAACAACAAGCATATCCAATGAATGTTTCAGAATGGACGTGACTACCGTGCATTTTAGTTAACAGGTCTGATGTTGTTTCATTACGTGTGCAAAACACACAACACTCAACCTAAAAAAGCGATTATCTTGCGGGTCTGCTGCTTAGATAAACTCTGTCAGTCTTACACAGATAATCTTGGACAGATATCTATCCTCCCCTGTAAAAGTTGTAGTGATATACGACGGTATTGAAGGCATCCTGAGGTGAAACAAACACTAAAGCTTACACCGTAAATCCGTTTGGAAGGAATATGCTTCAAGTACCCGCCTTCTTGACATGTATAGAGCGTTCACTGTTCTCAGGAAAAACAAATAAAGAAGCAGCCTTTAGGTGGAAAACAGTTTTGTCCTTGTTGTTGACCTCACTCAACCCGTCATACACCCGGAATGCCCATCGATTTGTGATTTTTGCAGCTAACATTGTTAAGTAAGCTAGAGCAACAACAACAGAGCTAATCTACAGATGCGAGTTTTACAGATTTTACTTCTTTTGCGTCTATTGCTCAAAGATGCCCATCCTAAGGTTCCTGAAAATGCATTCGATACATTACGCACGCATGTGTCCTTATCCGCACTCAGGAATTTCAGGGTTAGTAAACAAGAGGGTGGTATTGAAAATTAACAAAGCCGGTGGAAATATAAATACAAATAAATGGGGCAATTTAATTTAAACCAGGTGAAATACACTCATTTACAAGCCAGCTTACTTTTAACCAAATACCCAAACCAATGAGAGATTAATCTTGTTTTTCGATATTATTCGTCTAATTATGTTGCACAAAGTCGTGTGCGGTCAAGCAGTTTTCAGAAACCATCGAGTCGATCAAGGTGTTTGTTGTTCATGAAGCCAGTCCGTCTAACTTGAGGAAAAATAAAACCAATCTTGGGGATTAATACTAAAACAGTCTTTTCAGTGGTCGCCTTTGCATGGATAACCTTATATTTGACAATGTTCTTGCTTTTCTTAGTTTGAGTTTTTGTTTATTCATAGAGATCCAGTTCCGCAATTTCTTCAAAGAAAGGATTTGTTTGGATTCTCCTAGAACGCGGCTTCTAGGAAGGATGAGCGTTACGTAATCAAAACGTAATTCGCTGCCATGGGAACAGCAACACTAATTTTGCAGCTCTATTAAACTGTTTTAAGCTTCGATTCCTCTTGGAAAGACCATGTGTTTATGACATTCATCATTTTCCATGAAACCATCGATGGATTCAGTACAACTGTCTGGCTCGATTCCGCAAGGAATTTCGGTCCTTACATGGACTGTTTTGGTGACTTTGATCCCATGCATGATGGCCGAGCAAAGATACTGGTGAACCCGCGAAAAACCTCACAGGTATTTTGTGTTTCATTACATCTCTTAAGATTCAGGTCACAGAAACGGTACACGTGTACTCATTATGGTTGAGCCCAACAGCTGGACTGACAACATTTTCAGTTTAATAGCGAATTATGACAGCGATTAATGCTGGATCTCCCCAATAGAAAAAAGGAGTCTAAGTAAGATCGATCAGCAAGTCATTTTAGCAGCTATAAAACATACTGAAGACACGTCGTTTCCAGCTGTAAAGGTTCTGTCACCGTAAAATGGGAGACCGTGGTTGATTTAATCATCCCGAGACGATGGCAGCTATGTGAAGATTTCGTTCTATGCTGAAAAATCGAGAAGCTCTGTACAACTGTTTCATCCTTACTGGGAATCCTCAGCAGTACGCATCTCACGAAACTCCGGAGAGTCTCGAAACTGCAACATTCTTGTTAGTAGTTTGAACACTTAACCTTTCGGCCACGAGTGGCTGATCAGCAGCCTGATTAACTCGCACTTGGACAGGATAATGCGCCGCTCATCCTTCAATCACACGATCCGCATCACGCGGACACACGTGTTGACTGACTCCCCGAGCAACGACTTCTCAGATGGAAGTTTCGCTCACCGGGTAAAGTGTACAGTGGTTCTCGGCTTTTCAGGATAGATTGGCTTCACTGACAGGACGAAATCCCCGCAGAAAAACCCAAGTCTCCTCACACTACCAACGATGGCAGCTGGTCTAGAAACTAGGCACCGCAACAACTCTACTGACTGGATGATTGAATAATTTAGATCCCGGGATACCTAATATAGATTAATGGACATGTTGCTTGACCCAACACGGTAAAAACCCAACTGAGATTTGGCTATGACTACCCTAATATGAGTGGTTTGCCTACCGACTAAAGCCAGTCGTTTTTGTTTTCCCTCCCTTCACCTCTTTGATCCAGAAAAATCAAATCCTTGGTGCATTTTACTCAAAAAATTGGTTTCCTGAACTTACGAGCATTTTCAGTTTTTGTACAGCAAAACTTCTCTTTGGATTTTGTAACAGTGAGAAAGTCTACTAAGCCAGATGCAAAAGATTACCACATTACAGGCAGTGCGGAAAACTGCAGTGTTTAAAGAATGCCTTTTTATAAGTATAATATCGAAGTATGAGGAAGTTTTACGCTTGGATTTCAGCGTCCAATCCCCTTTCTACTCTTCAACGAATTCATAGCGCAAAGACGCATTATTTTGGACAATTTAAGGTCTTGCCTTCATATGTCGTTGCAGCTCTTAACTTCACTTTTATTTTCGAGCATAAGCGTACGCTTGTACTCGCAGAAGCTGTTGGCATCAACCGATTTATCGCCTTTCTATTCGCTCAGAAGCTAATACTGGCTAATTTCACGTTATCCTGGTAACTCAGACTCATTCTGACCTGCTTATGCCACTCTTCAGCAATCCGATAAATTCGGTTTACCATTCCTATATTTTATGTTGCAATTTACCATCACACCAGAATTTTCTCGCTCTGTTCTCTTAATGCATGTCAATCTGAATTTCATGGTTACGTTCTTGGCCAGAGATCGTCGACTTTACCCCGTCATCCATAATCTTTTGACCTCATGTGAATTTTATCATCGATTGCTTACATAAATAAAATGTCTTTACGTGACCATTGCTATTCAGCATTTTTTGGGTAATGTCAGTACATAAACTCACAGTCAAAGTGCGATAACAATGAACAAGATATCTTACTGAAAACCGTTGATTATTTTCAAATTTCTTAGTGGAAAAGGGTCATTTACATGTTCTGGAGTAGTCTTGTATCAGTGTTTATAGAGGGACGGTGTTTCAAGCAGGTAACCCATCTCCTTGCTATGCTAACTTTGCGTTCAATTCATGCTCTTCTCAGCCAAATGGGTTTCCCCAGTTTGAGTGGTTTGAACACGAGAAAGCCCAAAACGGCTGCTGAGCGCACTAAAGTCTTGAATGTAAATCGGGATACCTTTTTTATTATTTTTGTACCTTATCTGGTTGTGTGACTTCCGCTTTATATTGAAGTCCAGAGTTTGGAGTAGAGCTCTGGTTCTCTTTTGACACTATCTTAGAATATTAAGCCAAGAAACTAGTAATCACAGTTTGCTATAATTTAATTTCTGTTGCAGTGAACGCACTGTTACTCCTTTGCTTATTATCCCTGTGCGCGAAATGTTTCCTATATTCACCCATTTTAGTTAAGGTTCATACGCCACCCCTCCCCATAAAAAAACTGTTCAGCTATAACACCCTTTCGGTGCCTATCTGCCATGCCACGTGAGAGAAGCATGAGGGCTGGGATACTGCTAGTTTGCCCAAGCCTCGTTAGTTATATTCGTGGACGCTGCATATATTCAAGTTCACTTCAGGAACAGCAATCGTTTGAATCAACGAAATGGTTCTGATGGCCTTATGCATATTTTCAGCAAAGTGTACAATGATATGCGAGTTTAGTGCCCACCAAATTGAACTTGGTGTTCAAATCGACGAATGATTGCGTTGAAAGATGTGTTGCATATACGGGTGTTCTAGATTGGACCAAAGTGACAGAAAATCAAGATGAACGTGGATTTAATTACCTTTTTTCGTCTACCATATCTTCCTCTCAACTCCATCTCCGACACTAAGCCTTTGGGTGATCGACATTAATCACGAAGTTACATGAATTCAGGTTTCCGTACAAGTCGACTATACTAATCCGGCGATACTGACTGACCGGTTCTCATTGATTTTAGCAATTTCAGCAATCGCAAAGTGGCGTTAGTGCCATGGTGCCGTGGTGATTGTGTGCGCGTGACTTTTTTCACGCAGCTGGATTGTCACTCACCTATCCGTGTGTGTCACCAACTAGATCGGTACATCTTAGGCAGCGTTTTCTGTGTTCCAACTTTTTCCAACCTACATTTCAAGAGTCAGTTGCTCCCGTTTGTGCTGAAATTTTTGTCGTGTGCAGCTAATAATGCATGCACCAACAAAGCTAGGAACTATGACACTTAAAATTCCTGTCCCAGTACATCTACGCAGGCGGATATCTCCGACTAGGCGCCTTATGTATGTGTCACCAGGACAGAAGGACAAAAAATGGGAAGTACAGTTCCAACAGAGGATTATAGTTAGAATGGTCTATTGATGAGACGCGAGATAGGCTAAGGCCACAGGGTTTGATTCAAGCGCCTTTTGGTAGCCGGGCACATTCATGAGCGAAGCCCTGAGACCGTGAGCTAAGGTGACAGTTTAACCATTTTACAGGAAGGTTTTTGGAGTTCAGCTGGTAGTACAACTTCATGGAGTGCTTTACGCGCCAAAAAACATGACTAGCTATGTTCCTACCCTTTGGTAATTGGTTATATGCCTGTTGATCTGTTCGCCGAGCTTGGCAATTGATTTGCAAACATGTCCCTACCATTCGAGGAGACATCTTGAGTGCGCTGTTGAGTAGGTTAACAGTTTCCTGCCTCTTTGCTCCACGCAGTGTTTTTCGCAATC